AGCAAATATACCAAAACCCAAGGACTGAGGCCATCAATCAAGATTGCCCTATAAGCCCTCACCTGTTTTTCCCAATTTAATTTCCTTCTATTCCCTCCATACGTTGGTGTTCCATCTGAAGTGTTCTGCATTCATACCACATTATTTCTCATTTCTGTGTTCATACTGTTATGTTTCTCCAAAATGTCTATTCCCTCACATCTCTACACTTCTGGTCAATCTCCAAACTCCCTTCATTCTTCAAAGCTCTATTTAAGAGACACTTCATCCAAGAAGCTTTCTTTCATCACTCATGGTACATATGAATTGTGCAAAATATTTAATCTACATTTTACCTTCATTATAGTCATTCTTTTTCTTAATCTGACAAATATTTGAGAATCTTTTATTGACCAGGCTCTATAAATTTGTGTACTTACACACTTTTTTTTTAATCTATTCATTATACTATTAAGCTTTTGAACACTTGTTTTTATGTCTAATTCAAAGTATTCTGATTCACAGTAACCAATACTAAGGCCTTGCCCCTAGTAGGCACTCAAATATGGTTTGAAGGGAAAAAGGAGGGCACAGAATTTTTTAAAGTTATATGTGGGCTGGAGATAGCTATAATAGAAGGTATGATTCACTATAGGATGGTGCAGTGATCAGAGAAGGCTTCATAAAAGAGATGACATTTGAGAGGAGTCTGAAAATGAGGGTAGGAATTAGAAATTGAAATGGGGGCAGAAATATTTTAGTTGATTGGAATATGGGGTTCAGGAGGAAAGCAGAAAAAGTTAAGGTTGGAAAAAAATTTGAAGTCAGACTAGAAAAGTCTTAAATCCTAGGCAAAATAATCCCAGTTATTTTTGTAACTTTAAAAAGTGACCAAAAATTTCTAGAGATTCCTCTGATATATAAATGGGGGTAGGAGACACTGGAATGATAGATTAGGTAGAATTAAAAATTAAAGAAATAAACCAGCTTCTATTTCCAGTTTCCTTTTTTCCCTCCACATTTGTTTTTCAATTTTTGTCTTTCTAGTTTTAAGTGGATGGCCTGAACAATAACCTGAAGAACTGACCTTACATAAGCACACGTCAGTCTGGTAAGACAGTTTTTAAAATATATAGCAATGTCTATCCATCAAGTTTTAGGATATTTATAAATCGTGATTGTGCTATAAACTTTAAGGAGGAGGAATTAAGAAACTTCTCTGACGCTCCCTTGGTGTTTGCTAGCCCATATCTCTGGCCAAAGTGTTCTAGAAGTTAAGAACCATGACGTCTTCTTCCTCACCTCCTTTTCAGGGTTATTGTTTTCACCCCTCCATCTGTTAGACCCTCTCAGGTTTCCTCTTCTATCAGTCTGCTGTCTTGAACCTTCAGGTTCTGCCTATTTATACATTCAAAAAGTAGAGTCCCCTTAACAAGAGGGACCACTGTCAGTGTCTGCCTCCTTCACTGGAAGCACTGACAAGGACACAGCTGTCCTCTGGGATGCCTGGGACATGTGAGCTATGGAACCGCTCTTGCCAGAGGAGGGGGAAAAACACACACAAATCTAGAGACTGTGCAATTACTCCTGCTCTTGCCAATTTGTCTTTCATTCTTTAAGCCTGAGGGATCCTCTACTCAATATTCTGTAATGGACTACATGAGAAAAGAATCTGAGAAGAGTGAATATATGTACGTGGATAACTGATTCACTCTGCTGTACTCTTGATACTAACACAACATTGTCAATCAACTATACTCCAATAAAGACTATTAAAAAAAAGACTGAGGGGTTAATTATCAGGCCATAAATACAGTTTCTTTTGCCCTCTTTCAGGATCAGACCTATATATAGAGTAGTCTGAGAGGAGTCATTTAATGAAAGGTAATCACTGACTAGAAATAGAACTACCTGAAATCCACTAATTATAGATTCATTTGAGTTAAAAAACAAACACAATCTCAGAAAGGGTAAGTAAGGGGAAAGCTTTTTATCAGGCACTGTATTAGGAAAAGCATGTGATTAACCTAATCCACACAAAGGGAGTGGAAGGCTGATTGTGGAGAAGGGAGAGGCAAGGGATAGAAAATCTGTGAGATCCCTCTGGAACATGGGGTATATTTCCCAGGAGAAATTCAGGGACGATTGGACAGAACTCAACAACAGAATGAGAGCACTAAGAACCTGACAGGCGGCCAAGCTAAAAAGCAGGAAAAGCAGGAGAGAGTCACAGCTCTGGTCTGGTGAGTGACCTCTAGAGGCTGACTTTACCTCGAGCTATTGCCGAGGTCCTCATTTACTCCCAAAGTTTCAACCCAGCTCTCACTTTCTGTGGGAGCATCCAAGATGAGGTGGAAAGTACTGAAATCTGGGCAGGGGGAGAGGGGTAGGAATGGGAGGGAAGTATGGCCAAATAAGGCTGGGAGTGGAAGATGTGGAGCGAACGCCAAGAAAGAGATGGTTTCAAAAATGGAGCCAAAGAGCCGGAACCCCAAATGGGATCCAGTTCATTAGAATTATAGGCATTTGGGGACTTTCATGTTTCCCATGCTCAGTTTTATTTAAATTGCTTATGCTGGAAATTCTGAGTATGCCTGGGTCAAAGAAATATGTGATCAGCAGCCACCTTTCAGAACTCACCAAGCTCCAATAAAACTGCTTCATTTGAGCTCAGAAAACGGAAACTGCAACAAGGAAGAAATTTGTAGAGACAAACAATGGAAGTTAGTTTCCCTATAAACATTTCCAAAACAGATAATTACACTGTTTAATTTCAAAAGTCCTTTATACCAAGGGTAATACGCATATTTGGCATGAAAATATTCAACAGTAATGGTGCTGCCTCCATACCACCTCTGTCTGTTCATCCCCTCTCACAGGGACATCCAGTCCTGGGGTGAGCTTTCCCTGACCAAGCACATGATCCATCTCCTCCCGTACAGCCAGGGACACGGCCCTGCTAAGGTACACAAGCTCTATCTGCTCATCTCCAGGTTCCTTCCCTCAATTCAACAGCTTCTTTATCTCCTATGGGTATAACTCTCTCAATATGTACCTCTACCTCTCTGTCATTTGATAGATACAAACACATCTCAAATCCCCTTCTACAGTGTACAACCAACCCCACCTTAACACTGCCAAGCTCACCCCCACACCTCTTCCACTGATGTGTCAGTGGCAGACTCTCTGAGGGGTGACCATTTTCCCCTGACATCTGACCCTGCCAAATTGGGCTCAGTCCGTCTAATTTCATATTACTCCAAAGAGGTTTACAAGTTACTTCAGCTTTCTTATTATTATCTCAGAAGAAACACATTCCCATTCCAGTCAGTCCCCATGTCTCCCTCAACACAGCCTCTCCACGCTGTTTAAATTAAGACCAAAGTTAACAAAGGCCCCCTACTCTTTTTCCCAACCTACTATTTTCTACTGTTTTTCTGTATAGCTACCTGAATAGCTACCCTATCCAATGTTGTTTACTGCTGTTATAGAAACTGGATAATGGCCCCAGACATTGAAAGTTACAGAGGTACTTTCCAACTTGCTGAAATCCTTGCCTCTTCTTCTACATCAATCATTGTGACATGACTCAGGGTTTCCTTTCCTTAGTAACTCTCTCTTCTGCTTTACATGCTGCCTTCTCCCACTTAGAGATGGCCAGTCCTGGCATCATTCTTCTGCAAACAATTATAAACCCTGTTCCATTTTTTTCAAAAGATGTTGCTCAGTAGATAAGCGCTGATCTCGCGCTCCCCAGTCCTCTAGCACCATGTAGGAGTAGCAGCACTGTTTGTGCAAGTACCCGACCTCATCAAATGCTTTCACGTACATTTTCCTCTTATCTGAGCCTCTCAACATCCCAGAGAGGAACTATTGGTCTTCTCATTTTATCGGTGAGGACACCACGTTGCAGTAAGGATTAGGTGACTTGTGCAGTCAAGCAGATATTTAAATGCTAGAATCAAGACTCAAACTGGGAGCTTTACATTTGACCACAACTCCTTCCCCATACATGTTTCTGAGAGTAAATCTTGCTGTTAACCAAGCCCACACCTCTGGTTAAGTCTTACAAGGATGCTGCAGGCACCGTGGTGAACATGTGCCTTGGCCCCTTAGTCCACACTACTGTTTTTACTCTATTTCCCACTCTGAGTATCAGGCCTTGACACACAAGTCTCACCCCATCCCAACCTCCTTAGGGATCACTGTTGTTTAGTCACCAAGTCATGACCGACTCTTTGCGACCCAATGGACTGCAGTACGCCAGGCCTCCCTACCCCTCCCCACCTCCTGGAGTTTACTTCCGCCGTATTATTCAAGTTTTTTCTTCTGCCCTGAACAGTCTTGCCTCTTTTCCACTGATATCCCCTCTGTCAGGAGAAAGGAAGTAGTCTTCCTTTCTCACCCACTGACTTATTCACTCACACTCTTTGGCTCAGAAACCACAGACTCAACCACAAATTCTATAGAAGTGTGCATTATTTATGGCTTTGGGTCTATGTTGCCCATCTTTCCCCTCCCCTTCTCTGTTTGAAGCTATTCACTCTAGAGTGTAAGCTCCTGGCCCAGAAAGCTCTATTTAGCCAGCTGTGGGTACCACCCAGCACAAAGCTTTGCATTCAAAATCACATAAACACCGAAGATTATGATCTTTTATTTTTTAAAAAAATAAATAAATCACTCCTGCCCTTGATCTGAAATAATGACAGAAACCAGCTGCCAAAACCACTAAGGGCATTATTTACTTCAATTCAGAGTTTCTGAATAGGAATTAGCTTAAAAGAACTGTAAAGTGAAAGACAAGGGCACATTTGTTTACATGCAGTCCCAAACATAAAACCAAAAACTGAGAAATTTGTTATTAGCTCCCCGTCAACAACAGTCCAGCGCTACCGCATAGCGAAGTCACCCTGGGTAAGAGGATCCTAGTTCCCAGCATTCTTATGACAAGGAGAAGGTGATCAGCTATTCTGACTGTATACATGCTCTGGAAAAGCAATAGCTGGCTGCACGTTACTTACTGGTTTATCCTTAATGGTGGGGCTTGACACACACAGGTACAGTTTCCCGTCTTCCTCTAGGCAGGCGTCTATCAAAGCTTGTACTGAGCTCTCCTCCTGGAACAGCAGAAAGGCATAGCCTTGGGGAGGACAAAAACAAAGGGGTGGGGGGAGGAATCAGTAAATTAAACTCAAAGTACCAATTAAAAACTCATCTATTGTTTCACTTTGGTAAGTTCTTACTAAAATCTAAGAACCTGAAGTGGGACGTAGGGAAGAAATAGTCACTGAGGCCCTCATGTGCCAGGCACTCTATTTAGTTCAGTTCAGTTGCTCAGTCGTGTCTGACTCTTTGTGACCCCATGAATTGCAGAATGCCAGGCCTCCCTGTCCATCACCAACTCATGGAGTTTACTCAAACTCATGTCCATCAAGTAGGTGATGCCATCCAGCCATCTCATCCTCTGTCGTCCCCTTCTCCTCCTGCCCCTAATCCCTCCCAGCATCAGGGTCTTTTCCAATGAGTCAACTCTTCGCACTCTCTCTATTAGATACTCATAAATTTTACCTTGATTTCTAAAATGACTCAGGGAAGCAAGTTCAGGTCACATGTATGGAATTTTCATTATATAGGTTTGGTCAACTTTCATGAGGGTTGGACACAACTTATTGACTGAGCAACAACAAGAGGTTCACCAGTGACCTGAGGCACAACGGCTCTTGAAACAAGCATCACCTGGCCTCCAATTTCCATAAAGCTCTAGGCTTGACACGTGCTTCAACCTGGACGAGTGCTGAAGATACTATGCTAAATGAAAGGAGCCAAGCACAAAATACTATATATTTTATGGAATGCCCAGTATAGGCAAATCTATAGAGACAGAAATAGATTAGTGGTCTACTGTCCAGGGCTGGGGGAGTGGAGGGAATAGATACTGTGTTTCTTCTGGGAATGATGAAAATCTGCTAAAATTGATTGTGCTGGTGACTACGTAACTCTGTTAACATACTGGAAACCACTGAACCATACATTTTAAATGGGTGAACTGAGAATTATATCTCAATGAAAGTTGTCAAAAAAAAGAAGAAGCTCAGCAATAGGCTAGTGTTGTCTTTATACGTTATGTCTGATAGTGATGCTCTATTTCTTCAAGGATATTCTCCTGCCTCACAGCCGAGTACATGATCTGCAAACATGGACATGAGCTGCAGGATGTCCATGGACATGCGGAGCTTTGTCCCATTCAGTAAGATTTACTGAGCAACTGTTACAGTCGACACACAATCTATGGATTATGAGGAATAGTGAGAGGAACTAGACTTAAGTTCCAGCTGTCCAGAGACTCACATGGTAGAAGAAACAGACTTTAAAACAATTAACTACTTGCTACAAAGCTGAGGGAGATAAATGGAAATATAAAGTATTGTGGGAGCCCAGACAAGCAAGGAAGCTGACTTGAGAGAATCAGCAAAGACGTCAAAGAGGACAATAGGTGTTGAAGGGGCCAGCTCTGGCACATGCTGCCACATTGGCAGCTAAGCAAAGGTCCATCACGAGTTAGTCTAAACTTGAGTTCAACGGTCTGACCTCTCTACAATCCCTTTAGCTTTGCTAAGTCTCTCAGCTGTCACCTCTGCTCCCAGTCCTGCTAGTGACCTCAAAGGAAATCATCAGCAATAAGGCCCTCCTCTGGCACTCTGAGGGCCAGAAAGATCTAAGTGGTGAAGGAGGATAAGAACCACCACATTCAGAAGCTTTGCACACATCAAAGAAGCTAATCGACTGGCCTAGAAGCGAAGCTCTCTGGAGCTCTGAGCAACATGTAATGACAGTGGCAGTGGACAATGACTAATGGGTACTCTTTATCTTCTCCTCCAGCTCCTCATCTACCACACAAAGCACCCAAGCAAACACAACAGGAGAAAGGTCAACCGTGACGCAGCACACCAGGAGCGGCCAACAGGCAGACGACAGGACACAGGGGAAAGCACCCAGCCCACAGGAATGGGTGTGGAGCCACGAGAAGGAGACTGCCTACGTGGCGGGACCCAGAGTTGTTTCCTGGGCTGGATGGGCTAAAGGATTCAGCAGGTGGCCAGGCAAGAACAATCAAACTTAACTGAAAAAACAGAAAGGATAATACATCATTTCTTCATACCCTCTTTATTTTGGAAATAATATCAAATGATTACTAAGCCCCAGGGAATCTATTCAAAGTTCAGTGCTTTCATTTAATGTGAGAACATTAATTAAACTTGCCAAGGAGAGTATTAGAGGTCAGTGGGTTAAAAAAATGCAAAGATCACAAAGAGGAGGTCTCAGCACATCTTCTCAAACCTCCTGCCTCACCAAGTTAAATCCTGGTGCAAATTTTCCATAAAGGTCCTGAGAGGCATACTGAACATTCTGTTTTTGGAGAGGACCCCGTCTGTGTACAGTAAGTGCAGCAGGCACATCAAAAAGGCTTGGGGATGGGACAGCTCAGTGCACAAGCTCAGCTAGCTCCTTGCCTCTGCAGGGCCATGGCGCTGGCTGCACCTTTCTTGCACATCGCTGCCTGCCTCCTACAGTCTTCTGCATCACATCCCACACTGGGTTCAACTTGGGCATCAGAGGAAAGGGAGGGTATCGCCCCATAGCAGCTGAGTAGCTACCACAAAAGTACACAGATTTTTTCACTCAGGCCTATTTCACAGCCATAAATGTCAACACTGGTGGTAGACAGAGTAAAAACAACTGAGAATCACAAGTAAAAGCCTGTTACAAATGTTATTACCAAGAAAAAGACCTACAACTTATTTTCCTTTCCCAGAGAATATGCCATAATACTTTACCAATTTCTTCAGAATGACTCTTTTACAACAAATGATCTCTACTCCCTGAAGCTGCTACTCTCAGTAATGCTACTCTCAGACATTCTCTTAGCACCACAGAGAAGGGGTGTAACTCAAGTGCAGCCAACCCTGCCTCCTACCCCAGGCCTTTCAACCAAAGTAAAATTCAGAGACACCCCAACAAACCCATGAAAACAACTTCATGACATGTTCACCTACTAAAACACCTTCTGATACCTTAAGGTCAACCAAACCCAGATGACAACAGAAGTCAGAGGATTAAAAAAAAATCAGGAAGGAAGAAAACTTCAAACACATTCCCCTTTTGATCTTCAGAAATTCGAGGTCAAAGCAAACAAAGCAGAAAAAGATGCCTTCAAGAATAATAAGGTCAACATAAGATGGAAACTAAATCAATGATTTACTAAAAGGCAAAATCCACATGGCACTGGAGACAGAACTCTGGATTAAGGAGTCAGCACGCCTGGATTGGGGTCCTAGTCCTCATACTTACTAGCTGTGTAGTAATAATAGTAGCTAACATTTATTGAGCATCTGCTATGCACCAGGTGCTGTTTTTAAGTGCCTTATGTGTATTAACTTGTTTCAACTTCACAACACTCTGTGAGGCAAGCACTACTTTAAATTCTGTTTTACAGTTAAAGAAACTTGAAGAGGGACTTCTCTGGTGGTACAGTGGATAAGAATCTGCCTGCCAACGCAGAAGACACAGGTTTGATCCTTGGTCTGGGACGATTCCACCTGCTGCTGAGCAGCTAAGCCCTTGGGCTACAACGAATAAACCCGTGCTCTAGAGCCCTTGAAAGATAACTACTGAAGCCTGAGCGCCACTATATACTGTGCTCTGCAACAAGAGAGGCCGTCGCAATGAGTAGCCTCTGCACCCTAATGAAGAGTAGCCCCCACACAGCAACAAAGACCCAGAGCAGCCAGAAAGAAAGAAAGAAAAAAAAGAAACCTGAAGAGTGATTAAGTGACTTGTTTGATGGTGACTGTTCCAATACCCACTTAAGTGGTGAAATCATGAACTAGAACTAGACAAGGAATCTTGTCTCTTTTACCTGTAAAATGAAGAAACTAGTTATCTGTCCTGATTATCTTACAGAGATGAAGGCTGTGAGATGACATATGTAAAGTGCTTTGAAAAACTAGGATATTGTGCAAGTGCCGATTTTTCTTTTATTGCATTTTCAGTTATTTTTGTGTTACGTAAAATGTTTTAAATATTTATTTATTTTGGCTGTTCCAGGTCTAAGCTGTGGCCTGTGGGATCTAGTTCCCTGATCAGGGATCGAACGCGGTTCCCCTACACTGGAAGCAGGGAGCCCTAGCCACTGGACCACCAAGGAAGTCCCTGTGATATGTAAAATTAAACTGAGTTCTACATATGGTCTCATTATAAAAATCAGAGTTCAAATGAATGAGATACACTCTCTTCTTTGCATTTGTAAGCATTTGGTGAATAAAGGGAAGTAATTTAGATGCTAAAGGAAAACCTTAAAGGTTTTTGAATGACAGCTTGAAAAATTACTGTAAACAAACAATAAGGTAACTGAATATTTGTTTTCATATATCATTAGCTAGTTTTGTCAGGAGACAGAATGATCCAATGTGGTACTATTTGTTGATTTTAATACAGTCTTTAAATAAAAGCCTATTATACCTAAAAATCAAACTCCTCAAACTGTCACGATGATGGCAGGTTCTTCTATTAGTTTGGTTTGAAAGGTTTAAGAAAAAAAAACTTGCCCTCAAAATTATAATTCCCTCCATCTTCCCGTGCCATGTGAGCCAGCCAAGAGATTATAGGGTTATAAAAATCAAGTTTCTGAAATGGTGACCTTCTTACCCAGGTACTTACGAAGTGTGATGAGCTATTGGAGGCCCTCAACTCAGAGCCAGTCTGTGGGTGGAAATCTGGGCTCTGAGGAAGCAATATGAACTCCTGGCATGGTCACCATCCCCACTCTGGGTTATGGGCAGAATGGGTGGGAGGAAACTGCTTGCTTTCCCACTAGTGCCAGAGAGGTTGGAGAGGAAGAGGAGGGCTGTGAGGGATTTGGTGACAAGCCTGAACTGACCAATGCGCTTCTCTGGGGAAACAGGTATAGCATGAGGGCAGGGACTTACGGGGATAATTCCATTTTATTTGGGCAAGCTTTTGAAGGATAAATTAAAAAAATTTTCCCCCTTAACACCTGAGAATGCATTACCACAACCCCCAAAATGTTCTTGGCTACCTTTCAAAAACAAAGCTTCCTAAGTTCCTGAATACATAATTTTT